GTTAGTTCGGGAAGGTCCGCCGCCCCAAGGTTGGGCCGGCGGAGGAGGCGGGGGTGCGGGAGGGGGTGGTGGTGGAGACGGGTCGTCTGGTGCTGGAGCGGACGAGGGGACCCTGCCCAGTCCAACTGAGCCGCCGCCCCTGCAGTCGCAGCAGCAGCAGCAGCCGCAGCAGCCGCCGCAGTCGCAGCAGCCGCAGCCTTTGCAGCAGCCGCAGCAGCTGCCGCAGACGAGGCAGCCGAGTGTACTCCCGCCCGGGTGGCCCGGCGTTGGCGGTGGTCGGGCGCGTAGTGGTGTGCCGAGTGGTGGTTCTGGAGGCGTGCGTTGTCAGTACCAGATCCAGACCGGTCCTCGCCGCGGCTTCGTTTGCGGTAAGATCGGTCACTCCACTCCCCGTTGTTTTCGTCGCCTCACCGACCTGTTTTGTCAGCGCTTCGGCCCGTCGCCAGACCTCCCGGACTGGCACAGTTTGCTTAGTCGTAAGATTCAGATTTTTGACATGGACATGGATGCCATTGTTTCTGCTTTGCATGTGATGTATGCTGATGACTCTAGTGTGCTTCCCACCTATTACCCACTGTCGGCTAGTGTAGGTGTGCCTAGCTTAGCCTCCCCTGCTGCGTCAGGCGTAGGATCCCCTGCTTTGTGTAGTCTTGGTGCTTCCGCCGTCGTTCCGTCGCCAGACGCCTCTGCTTCGCTTTCCTTCACCTTGGACTCTGGCGCTTCCCGGTGTTTCTTCCGCGACTCCACCACCGTGATGCCGCTTCCTGTTCCTGCTGCCGTTTCTCTTGCTGACCCCTCCGGCGGTCCGGTAGTCGCCCGCAGTTCCACCACCCTTCCCTGTCCGGCGGTTCCTTCGGGCACTCTCACAGGTCTGCATATCCCCTCGTTCTACAGGAACGTAGTTGGTGTCTGCTGCCTCCAGGACCTTGGCGTCACCACTACGTTCCCTGGTCACGAGCGGTATGCTGTCTGTACCGAGGCCGCCACTGGTGCCCCCCTGTCCACGTTCCCCCAGGACCCGGTGTCCGGCCTGTTCACTCTAGACACCGTGGCCCCCGCGGCTGGAGCGCTCCCTCAGGTGGCTGCGTCTACCTAGGTTGCTGCTGCCTGCTCCTGTCGGTCCCTCACTCACCCGACTCTCCTTTGGCACCACCGCCTAGGTCACCCTGCGCTCCCGCGTCTGCGTCACATGTCCCAGCACAGTCTTGTCCTTGGTCTCCCAGGTTCTCTCCCCGCGTTTCCCTCCTCCCCAGCCCCACCTTGCACGCCTTGTGTGGAGGGTCGGCTTCGCCGTGCCCCTCACTCCTCCTCTTTTCCCCCTACCGCCGCGCCGCTGCAGACCCTGCACCTGGACGTCTGGGGCCCCGCCCCCGTCCCTGGGCCGCGTCGCGAGCGCTACTTCCTTGTGCTTGTCGACGACTTTACTCGTTACACCACAGTCTTTCCCCTGGAGCGCAAGGCCGACGTGCCTGGCGCCCTCATCCCCTGGCTTGTCTCTGCGCGTGTCCACCGCGGTCTCCCTGTCTTGCGTCTTCACTCCGACCGTGGTGGCGAGTTTGCCTCAGGTGTCCTTGGTCGCTTTTGTCGTGCGGAGGGCATCACCCAGACGTTCACCCTATGATCCATGCCCGTGCACCCCATTTTCTGTGGCCGATCGCTGTGCGCTACGCTTCTCACCAGCTTAACTTGTGGCCGCACCCTCAGCAGCCGCAGGTTTCGCCGACTCGTCTTTGGACTGGGTCTCCTGGTGACGCGTCTGCGTTCCACGTCTGGGGCTGCCTTGCTCACGTCCGTGCCTCCGGCACGGACAAGCTCACTGCCCGCACCCTTCCCTGCGTCTTCCTCGGTTTTCCCCTTGACGCGTCCGACTGGCACTTTTACCACCCGCCGTCTCACCGCTTCTTTCACTCTCGTGACGTCACCTTTGACGAGTCCGTCTCCTACTACCGTCGCTTCCCCCACCGTGGTCCCCCGGTTACCCCCCCCCTCTTCCTGGTCCCTCCTTCCCCGGTAGTCCCTGCCCCTCCTCCTCCTCCTCCTCCCCGTCCCGCCCCCTCTGGTGTGTCCCACGTCACCCCCCTTCCGTCGGTGGACCCGGTTGAGGAGTCTTCTGACTCTGGTGGCCCTGCTGCGCAGTCCTTGCCGGCCGCCCCTCCACCGACGTCCCCTCCCCAGTCCCCTCCTCCACCGCCTCTGCCACCACTACAGCCGTCGGTGTCGCTGCCGCCGCCGCCGCCGCCGTCGCAGCACCTGTTTGCTGACTCTGGGGGTGCTGGTGTGGAGTGTGCCGGTGGTAGCCGAGGAGCAGCTTGCAGTCCCGGTATAGCCGTTGTGCCGCCGGAGCAGCAGTCCTCGCCGGTGTCCGCCCTTCGCCTGCTCGGCCTTCCGTCCCCTGACCCTACGGCTGTTCCTCTCCGCCCGTCTCCTCCTCTTCCCGTCTACGGCCCTGTGTTCCCTCCGCCGGACTCGTCCCCGGCCCGTCTTCCCCCTCGTTCCCCTCATGTGTCCCCTCCCCTGTCTCCTGACCCGACTCCTCCGTCGCACGTCTGGTCTCACCATCCCTCCCGTGCTTGCCTGCCTCCCCTGTCTTGCGCTCCCACCCTATGTTGCTTCGTTCCCATGTGTCTCGTCCTCCCCTTCTGCTGTCGCCTCCTCCGTCCTCCCTTGTTGTTGCACCCCCCCCACTGTCTGACTACCTTCGTGCCGCTCGTCCTCTTGTTCCCCGGGTCCTTGCCTCTCTCGTTACCTACCCGTCTGTTCCGGTCTCGTGCCTTGACGCTCTTGTAGCTGCGGTCGCTGACTTCGCCTCTACCCGCCGCCTTGACTACGCCACCGCTCTGGTCTCTGACCCTGCCTGTCCTCCATCTGTCGGGGGTGCTCCTGCCCTTGGCAGTGACGTCCTGGAGGACCGCCAGTTCGAGCTTGCTTTCCTTTCCGAGGCTGCTCCCCATCTCTGTTCCATGCTACTAGTCCCTGAGGGTGACCCAGACGCTTTCAACATCCCGACCCCTCGCACTTACGCTGAGGCGACCTCGGGACCTTGGGCCTCGCAGTGGATAGCTGCCATGGAGCAGGAGATGGCATCTTGGAGATCCACCGGCACTTTCGTCAACGCAGTTCCCTCGCCTGGGGTGAACGTAATCGATGGCCGCTGGCTCTTCAAGGTGAAGCGCCCTCCTGGAGAGCCGCCTGTGTTCAAGGCGCGCTACGTGGCTAGAGGCTTCAGTCAGCGTGAGGGGGTGGACTTCTTCCAGACCTTCGCTCCGACCCCGAAGATGACTACTCTTCGGGTTCTGCTACACCTAGCTGCTCAGCGCGACTACGAGCTTCACTCCCTCGACTTCTCCACTGCCTTCCTTCAGGGCAGCCAACACGAGCATGTCTACCTACGTCGCCCTTAGGGCTTTACTGGCACCTTCCCTCCTGGGACCCAGTGGCTCCTGCGGCGCCCCGTCTATGGCCTGCGCCAGGCTCCCCGTGAGTGGCAGGACACTCTCCGTGCTACGCTTGCTGACCTGCAGTTCTTTCCGTCTTCCGCAGACCCCTCACTCTTCGTTCGTGCTGGCCAGACTCCGTTCTACATCTTTGTTTACGTCGACGACCTGGTCTTTGCCACAGCAGACAGGGACGCACTGGCCTCCGTGAAGGCAGAGCTGCTGAAGAGACACACCTGCACTGACCTTGGAGAACTGCGCCGTTACCTTGGCTTGCAGATCTCCATGGACAGAGCAGCGCGCACCATCACCCTGACTCAGTCACACTTGGTGCGCCAGGTCCTTCAGAGGTTCAGCCTTTAGTTCTCCTCTGCACAGCCCACCTTTTTGCCTGTAGACCACAGACTCTCTGCTCCAGTGTCTGAGGAGTCGGTTGAGCCCAGCGGCCCCTACGCAGAGCTGGTGGGTTGCCTCATGTACCTGATGACTTGCACTCGCCCAGATCTCGCATACCCTTTCAGCATCCTGGCTCGCTTTGTGGCCACAGGCAGACACCGACCGCAGCACTGGTCTGCCGCTAAGAGGGTTTTGCGTTGTCTTGCTAGTACATCGGGCATGGGGGTAGTGCTAGGAGGACGCAGGCCAGTGGTCCTTACTGGACACACCGACGCTTCGTGGGCAGACGACGCCGAGACACTCAGGTCTACCCAGGGCTACTGCTTCAGCCTTGGCTCAGGTGCCGTCTCGTGGAGAGCTACCCCCTCCTTGTCTGTTGCCCAGTCCAGCTGTGATTCCGAGATCAACGCTGGTGCCATGGCGGCACAGGAGCTCCGCTGGCTGACCTTCTTGCTCACTGACTTAGGTGAGCGGCCTAGCTCTGCCCCGGTCCTGTTCGCTGACAACAGGGCCATGATCCTCCTGTGTCAGGAGCCTCGACTCGAGGGCAGAGCGAAGCATATTCAGCTGCGATACTTCCTCCTGCGCGAGCTACAGCAGCGACGCCAGGCTCGCGTAGTACACTTGGCCTCAGGTGCCAACACAGCTGATATCTTTACGAAGGCGCTTGCGCCTAAAGATCATCAGCGGCACTGCGTACAGCTTGGTCTAGTCCCTGTAGCCTCTCACTTGCTAGGGCCTTGACTTTGTACTGCCCTTTATATGTATACTCAGACTGGACTTGTGTCCTCTCCCAGTGGCTGGACTAGTAGTGCCGCCCTGATCTTGTTCTTGCCTTGTCTGTACTCCTTCTGACTGGTCTTTTAGACCCTTGTCTCAGAGGTTGGACTAGTAGTGCCGCCCTGAGCTGCTTGTTCAGGACATTCCCCTATGCAGTCTAGGGGGTGTGTCAAACATGTGTATTAGTTATGTTTGCATAGACTGTATAGGGTCACCTCTTAGAGGGTACAATACTTAGGTATATCTATCTGTACTCTCCCACTAGTCATCATTCACTTCTCTCACTCTAGGCACTTGACATTGACGTCTACGTCGACATTCACGAAACTCTTGATCTGATTTCGCGAGCACTAGTTACCACCCAAGATTGCGGGCTTCACCGAGGCTCCCTCGGAAGCCACGCGAGCAAATTGCGGAAACCATTCGTGAAATTCATATTTCGACAACAGATACCCACTGCCCAAGGGTACATGAGTATGATTAGGAGGTAATAAAAGGGCGAAACAAATAACTAGGTTTGGCGAGATGCACCAACAATCTCCAGCACGATGGATTTGTATTGCTGGCGTTTCAACGGTGGGTTGGATCGATTGTTTTATTCTACCAAGAGGCAAGGCAATTCTGGCGGGGCGGGGTCATGCTGACACGTTTTTTTAGGTGTGGAGGCCTAGTACACCCCTAAGGCTAATGTAAAGCTTAATGAAAGGTGGACTTTGCGATTGAGCAAACGTCAGCGTTGCGTCAAGTCTGCGTCAGATTTGCCAGTGTTGGGCTGAGAAATGCCCTTGGGATCTTTCCACAGACTAAGTCCCAGTTGTAAAAGACTTGAGTAGTGCAGTTGAAGTTGAGTAGTTGAACCCTTGTGCTAGTATATGAGAACAAGTGATTGATTAAA